TGAACCAAAGTGCTGGAGAGGAGTTAGCCACACAGAGAAATGGCTTCTCAAATCTCCATAGCGTTTCCTTAATTCTTTGGCAGAAACCAGTCTGTACATGTGTTAGATGAAACCCCATCAGGTTGATCAAAGAGCAACTGTTAAAGAAATGACCAGGAAGCTGTAAAACAGATTCAATATTCGCACAGGACTGAGAATCATTTTTGTTCTAACTCGTCAGAATGGAGAGATATTGTTGTCTCAAGGATACTTAGGAGAGATCTTAGAAGATTATACTTTCATAGGTGTGGTTGTTGCATACTAGATTTTATTGTATTCATTTGAAGAACATAGAACTTCATTCTGTCAGACAGTTAAGTATCATGATAATCATTTCAATGTTCTTGAGGCTTGTATTTAAGCTTCTTTTAGACCACCTATTAAAGTCTTAAGAATGTGAAAGAGAAAAATGTTTAAAGAAATAATAGCCCCAAATTTTTCAAAATTAATGACAACTATACATTTGCACATCTAAAAAACTCAACAGAAAACATGGTAAGTGGCCATTTGTATTTTTTTATTTCATTATTCTCTGAATCCTCACTTATTGAATGAATTATTTCATATCCTCTCTACATTTCTTATAATATTTATCATAGTCTTCTTATTTATATGCTGTTAATGTAATTTGTTTTATCTTAAACATTGGATTGATTGCAGAACTAGTTCTTCAAATGTTATACAGACTAATTAATAAATTAATATTTTATGAATACCATAATATATATACTTCTATATTTATAAATGTTTATTCTGATTATATAGATAAAAATAGATGATGGAAATAAAGATAGAACTAAAAATTGCAGTTCCTGCTACTTCATATGTACTATGTGAATGAAGTGTTAGATAGATTTGTGTCCCTGAATTAAGAAGAAATTCAAAAAAAGCTATCTAATTCTTCACTTTTTGTCCTAATTATTGCTAGTAACACATTCTAACTTCTGTGAAAGGGCAGATGTCCAGCACCTCAACAGGTCCATCTTCTAGAAGGACAACTCTAACAATGGTAAGGAATATATAATTTGACTTCGGGGTGCTAGAAACAATGAAGTGAACTTCAGATGTGCTCACATATGAAAGATATATGAAAGATATGGTAAGATGACCTTTCTCTGTGATCATTCCTACCCCTACTACTTTCTATGCAAAATCAAGTGAACATAAGTTTAGTTTGCAAGGCACAGGAAACAGTTTACATTTTACTCTAGGAACATTTTCTATTTGTTCACCCTCTCACTATCAGAGAAAGACCTGATAATGGAGGGAAGGGAGGGGCCAAGACCAGAAAGTGGTCCCTGGAAAAAGAGCTAAGAACTTATTCTTCTTATTTCTAGTTTGGGCCCTAGGATAGGCTGGAGGTTAGGTAGATAAAGACTCATCTTCACTCACATATTGTTCCAGACCAGGTTAACCTGAGACTATAAAAATATTTGAGACCATAACTCTAGTTATAAGAGTGTGTGCATTGTGCAGTGTCTCCTATGTACTATAGATGCACCTCAGGAACTGCATATAGGAGCAGGCAGACTGATGGATTGTAAAGAACTGGGACCCCAGCCATCTCTCTTCCCATCAGTGTTATGACTAATCATGTGACCTATCATGCATTCAATTATGTCAGGATGGAGCCTGTTTCGTGCAAAATATCTTACCATACCATCCCATAGATGAATTCTTTGTGAAAATGAAATATTATTTTAATTGAAAAGTTACATTGCTCATAGGATTCAGTTTATCTTTTAAAAGAAACTTTTACTACCATGTTAATTATATGTTTCAAAGCCTATGCTTTACAATAGATGTAAATATCACCATAAGAAGTGGGATGGTTTTTCCTAGTGTAAGTTCTTCATAAAATTATTCTTTCAGAAGATATTCCTCCACCAAAAATTTCCTTTTCATTTCTGTAAGTTTTCTATCATTCAACAGCTTGTTATTATGAAGAGTTAATTAATCATTAGTGCCAGGCTATCAATAAAATGATTTTCATGGGCAAGTCTAAATTACCTTATATTATTTCTAAATAGCATAGTTGGAATGAATTACATTTCTTTTATGCTGAAATGAAAGGTCATTTCCTCCAGTCTTTACTCATCTGAACTATTAAGCATGTATTCTAATAAGCAACATTCAACTTTTTTAATACACCATGTTTATTGGTTTCTTTCTCTCCTTCATTTCATTTACTGATCTGCATTTCTGTTTATGCCAGCATCCTCTAATAATGCCATGACTTGCTCAGCAAAATCCTGCCACTTCTGGCAACTGACCAAGCTTATACAATGTGCTTTCACATAAAAACTTCCTCACTCTAGACTGCAATGTGAAGTATTCTGGTAGAGATTTTATAATGCTGTTTTTTAATTAAATGAATGAAAATTAAGGATACAATTTCAAATTAGCTGTACAAATTCATTATCTATCATTCTGACCAGAAAAGCAGGGGGCCTATATCATTTGAATAATATGCTAGTGGGAAAGGCATGTACTTATCTTAAGTCTTAATATCAAATCCATATTTGAACACAATCTAATTATATTTAATAAAATGTAGGGATATATAAAAAGCACACATTTCTTAAATTATGGTAGCATCCATTTCTTAAATTATCATAGCATTTATGAGCTGCCATGAAATTTACTAAATAAAAATACTATTGCAATTTAACATAAAATATTTGGAATTAGCTCATCATCCTGCATTTTGAGAAAATATTTCTGAAAATTTAAAAATGTTAATGATGTATTTGGAGTTTTAAATAGTGAAAATTCAAGGGTGCTTATCTTTTATCATCTCATCTCATAAGAATACTGAAAAGAAATTAGTCTTTCTTGGATAAAAATAGAAAAGTGAATCTTTTCCCTAAAACAAACAATACTGTGTAATGAACAGAGACCCATAACACATGCCCTGTGATAACGTCCATGAAATAACACTGTACCTTTCTTTTGCATAGTGCTTGCTAAGCATTAATTAAAAATAGTTGAATGACAGAGTGCTAGGCAATTTTCTCAAAAGTTGATTTTTTTATATCTATGAATATATACAATAAATATTACATAGTGTTTAATTTTCATTGCCAAAATAAACAGGACCTGCATTAGCACTGGGTTTCATGCAAATCCAGAGATGTATATTTTTGCAATTGGTGTGTGTGCATATGCATACACCACACAAAGAGAGAGAACTTTTTGACAACTGAAAGGAATTCACCAGTGATCAGTCACTGGTGTCAGAAGTAAGAGATAGTTAAGGGAGTGCTGGTAAATCCTACCTCCCACGCACACTCTTCTGACTATTGGAATAAGATTCCAATAGAATGAGAAAGAAGCTAATGTGTCAACTGTAATGATAGTAAAATTGATGCTTGAAGGAAATAGCTCAGCCTTTCTGTCACCTGGCACTGCCGATCATGTTGCTCCATTTCTATTGACAAGTAGAATCTGTGTTTTATATGCAAGAAGTGATTAAGATTTAAAAATTGGAACAAGCCTGGATTTTAATGAGCTCCCTAGAGCTGGTCATGGGAATAGGTGGTTAAAGAACAACAGAAAGTATCCTTAATTTCCCATGTGTTAATCTACTTTTATTATAAACACTATTGAGAAATGTGATAAACAGAACTAGGATATGCTAATAAATGAAATTATTAAAGTCTGTCCCTTACATGGGACAAAAAATTTCTCTTACATGGTATATGATCCAAAGACACAAGGTAGATATTTATTTTGATGGTGTGGTTGACTCCCTGGCTGTGAGTCTTCTATATGTCACTGATGGTATCACAAAACCCCTATTTATATTAGCCTCACTTCAGATATATAAATAGAGCCATCTAAGTAGAACAAGGCTCAAGTTCTCAGAATTAAGTATCAAGTTTGTTTACTGCATCCCTCCATGAAATTTTATAAGAGATAAATTAACTATCTTGATCTTTTTCTAGCATTCAGTTCTGGGACCGAGGTCTAGTTGTATCCTTTTAGGAACACGGTTCTCAACCCTGGTTGAATACTAGAATCACTTGGGAAGACATAAAATGGCTGAAACCTATCGTCACTCCAGTTGACTTAGGTCTGGGCATTGATACTTGTTAAAAGCTGTAAGTGTTTCTGATAATTCTAATTTGCAATAAAGTTCTGAAAGCTTTTGTTCTAGTCCTTTCATGTAGTACTGTCTTGCTCTTTGAGCCTGTATCTGTGACCTGGTTCCTACTTTCTGTTGCTCAGAAGGTATATCTTCTCTACCCTATCTTTTTCTTTCTGAGGTGACCACTGAAACCACGTGTTGAAAATAGCTTTTAAGATGAATGTAGCCTGGGTCCTTGAATCAGCAAATGGAAGGTCTTTCATGTAACACTGCATTGAACCATTGTAGAGACTGCTAGTTGCCTACTAAGTATATATTCTCTTCTTCATCCTTACAAATATAATTTCTGTCCATTTGGAGATGTCACTGTGTCAAGATAAAGAATTATATGTCCAGGGCCTCCCCGATGGTGCAGCAGTTGAGCGCTGGGTTGAGAAGCTGCCCGCAGCATCTGCAGCACCAGTTCGATCCCCAGCCACCAGGTGAGGGTCCCACATGGCACGCAGACCTCTCCTGCTGCCCACTGCTTCCCTCAGCAGTGTACCTCGTCAGTCTGCCTGTTCTGCTCTCCACTCTGGCTCTGGTAAATTCTCTCACCCTCCCACGCTTCTGACTGTACCCAGGGCTTGAATAAATAAATAAATAAATCTTTTAAAAAAATTATATGTCCAAGTTTCCTTTATAGAAGGAATGCTGTAAGCAGAGTTATAAGCAGAAGTAGTCAGAATTTCTTGGAAGCCTCTTTTTTTTATTTAATAAAGTTTCATTTTTCAAAATGTACAGTTGGTATAGCATCTGGGGCATCTCCACTCTGGTGTGCCTGGTGTAAATTACTGGAGCTCTCTGTTTTGAAACCAATCTAATAAGTTCTTTAGTAAAGTAATCCTGAAGAACTTCCCTGGCCAAGGAACAACAATCTTCACCCTCTCAGCCTCAAGAGCTGGGGCTATAAGCTTGTAGTTGGGAACTTCCTTATAGAGTTTGTCGTGTGTGGCTTTGTCAAACAAGACGAAGTTTTTGAGTTTGTCCCAAATTTTGCTTTGACCACTTCTTTTTGGCCTTGCCTCCAGATTTGTTCACTGGGTCTTTGTCTTTCATGACTGACTTTTTGGCATATTTTTCTTATTATTGTCCTTGGGCAGCATCCTGAAGGTTGGAAAGCAGCAGCTACCAGGGCAGCCTCAATAAGATATCAGACAAAGAAAAAGTTTCAACAACCATCATATAACCATGTGGGGATGTGTGTCACATACCTTGGAATGAAAAATGAAGACAATGAAGGAGCCAGGTCCTCTGATGACTTTGAAAATCACCGTATAAGCCTTGATATAAAAATCTCCATATTTTTTTTTTTTTTTTTTTTTTTTTATAGAGGCATGCTTTATTTATTTGTTTGCTGGTTTGTTGTTTTGTTTATACATGCACTGGGTACAGTCAGAAGCGCGGGAGGGTGAGAGAATTCACCAGAGCCAGAGCGGGGAGCAGAGCAGCAGAAGGACCGAAGTACACTGCTGAGGGGAGCAGCGGGCGCAGGAGAAGTCTGCACGCCATGTGGGACCCTCCTCCGGTGGGGGAGCAGCCGGGGATCGAACCGGCGCCGCAGAGGCCGCGGGCAGCTTCGCAACCCAGCGCTCAACCGCTGCGCCACCGGGAGGCCCAAAAAATCTCCATATTTTTAATAACATAAAAAAACTGATGGAAGCTGATATATCTTAGGTCACCACCACTATACAAGAATATAATTCCTAATTCGTATATTCTTAATGACATACCCCGTGTGCTTTCAGGGATCTTATCTATTGTTATCCCTGACTTTTTTGACTCTACCTGTCCATCTGTCTGCACTACCTTCTGTGGCTTGCTGTCTGAATCTGTGTTGTTTTCGCATGAATCAGTTTTGTCTCCTAATCCTTGGTTATCTCTAATTTAGCCTTATTTTGCCTTCAACATAAACCTATCATGTTTGATTAATGTTAGAGTGAGTATAGGACCATTAATTCGAGGCAGACTTTAAAATGTCTGCCAACTAATGAGAATGCAGCAACTTGATTTTCTCAATATGTTTTCTATGTCCACTTTCCTCAATACCAAATTTAGATGGTCTTCTCAGCTCCATTTTCAAGTATAAATGAGAGAAATAGTGGTATATAAATTATATGGACACTGTTCTGTGAACTCTATCATTCAAGGACTAGAGGAGATTGGATAGTGTGACCTATGCTTTATAGGTGGGAAGGCACCACTTATAATCTCTAAGACGATCTGTTATATTTAATGACTTTGTGCTATGTGCTACATTATTTTCCAGGTCAGGTAAATATCACACCTCTATTAAAGTTGTTTAGTTATTTGTATATCCATGAAAGTAAGAAAACAATAACAGATTCTCACCAGACAACTGAGAGATTAGAAGTTAAAATGTGAGCTCACAGCACAGAGCATGGTCTGGTTGTTTGAAGAACATCCACAGTGATGAAGTAAAAAGATACACAAATAGAAAGCCACATCCGTTGGTGTCTCAGTGTTTTCCAATTTGCCCAATATCATCTTAAGAAAACCACCTCAAGATGGCTACCATTGCTTATTGGTTAATTCAAAGGGAAAAAGAAAATGGTAACATAATGAAAAGTCAGATCAGGAAAAGTGAATATGTTTTTCAGAAGTGGGCGTATTTCCTCAAATGTACTAAAATTCCTGTGCTTGGGAGATCTTGCATTTATGATGTAATTACATAAGCTCTAATTCTTATGAGCTTGATCAATTGATCAGAATGAACGAGTCTATGCAGCGAGGTCCATGGGTTTAAAATCTAATGAATAAGTAGATATTTTCACTTAATTGGTCATTTTATTTCTTTGTCAGTAGTCTTTTATGGTAACATGACTGTTAATTTCCCAAAAGTGTTAAGTTAAAGTTACTCACATTTTGATACAAAATTAGAATTGTTTATTTAGAAACAATTTATAATCATTTATGTTTACACAAACGCTGTCCTCAAACTATTTTAATTATTAACTTGATTTTCCTTAATCATTTAGTTTGTTTAAAAACTGTCAGTAAGTAACCAAACTAGCTGATTATTACATGGTTTAATCTGCATAAAATTTCTAGTCATATTTGAGATTTGGGGACAAATGTACCCTTAATGTGTTGAAATGTTCTGAATCCCCTACAATTATTCTTTATAATTTTGTTGAAAATACATGTGAAAAAAAGAAAGAAAGGGTAATAGTGTGTTATCCTATTCTGGGTTCTGACGTTGAAAATCAGAGATACTCATCACTATTAGGACCTAAGTTATTCACCAGTTAATGGTAGATGAAAGAAAAGCATAGTCAAGTTATAGCTTAGGGACAAGAGCTAGGAAGTTAGTGAGTTAACTAGAGTTGAGGAAGGTTGAGGTCTATAAGAAATGAAGTGAAAGGAAAGTCACAAATACTGAGAGGTAAAAATCAAGGAATAGGTTCAAAACCTCAACTTTTTTCTGCATGGAGATAAAGATGGAGCTGATGTGAAGATGGAGACTTACAGTCACCTTTAATCTTACACCATCAATAACTGGAGTGGAGGGGCTTCCCCGGTGGCACAGCGGTTGAGCGCTGGGCTGCGAAGGTGCCCGCAGCCTCTGCAGCGCCAGTTTGATCCCCCGCCATTCGGAGAGGGTCCCACATGGCGCGCAGACCTCTCCTGCTGCCCGCTGCTCCCCTCAGCAGTGTATTTCTCAGTCTGCCTGTTCTGTTCAACGCTCTGGCTATGGTGAATCCTCTCACACTCCCGCGCTTCTGACTGTACCCAGTGCTTGTATAAATAATTAAATAAATCTTAAAAAAAAAATAATTGGAGTGGAATTATTAGGATTTAAAGTGCCAGTACCTTAAAATTAGACAAAGGCTGCCTAAGTCCTATGGAATTTCATGTGAACAAAACAAAACCAGACAATTATAAATCAGTGACATACAGCAGGGGAGGAGGGAGAAGGATCAAAGGGAGGGAGGGAGGAGCACAGGGGACTGTGGTGATGGTGCACGGGGTGCATTGGTGAAGGAAATTACTCTGTATAATTTTGTTGGGGACTACACCTGAGGGGGGGTAAGAAAATATTGTTTTTTTTTTTAAGATTTATTTATTTATACAAGCATTCGGTACAGTCAGAAGCGCGGGAGGGTGAGAGAATTCACCAGAGCCAGAGCGGGGAGCAGAGCAGGCAGAAGGACCGAAGTACACTGCTGAGGGGAGCAGCGGGCGGCAGCAGAGGTCTGCGCGCCATGTGGGACCCTCCTCCGGTGGCCCGGGAGCAGCCGGGGATTGAACCGGCGCTGCAGAGGCTGCGGGCAGCTTCGCAACCCAGGGCTCAACCGCTGCGCCACCGGGGAGGCCCAGAAGCAAATATTGTTTAAAAATGAACAGTGATGTTAAAAAAAAGAGAGATAAAGACCTCCCTTTTTGGAAAAAAAAAACTCTGAAAAATAATTTCATGTGATAGTATCATAAACTTCATGGTTTATATCACTAAGTTTGTTAATCATTTTTGTGGGTCATTGAAAGTTTAATTAATGGGTTCGTTTAAAAAGGTTAATTAATGCGTTCGTTCAGAATTTCTATTTCTTCCCTCTTCAGTCTTGATGATTGTATAATTCCAAGAATTTGTCTTTATCGTCTAGGTTATTGAATTTACTAGTATACACATGTTAATAGTACAGAGAAACTGAAACAATAATCATAACTCTCCCCAAAAAGAAAAGTTTAGGATGAGATGACTTCACAAGTGAATTCTACCAAAACTTCAAAGATGAATTAATACTTATGTTGCTTCAACAATTCCAAAAAACTCACTAAAAAAGGAATACTTTCAAACATATTTTAGGAAGCTAACATCATTTTACTATCAAAACAAAAAAAATACAAAAGAAGAAAAATATAGACCAATTTCCCTAATGAACACAGATGCAAGAATCTTAAACAGTATCTTAGCAAACCAAATCCAATAATGCATTAAAAGGATCATACACCATGACCAATAAGGATTCATTTGAGGAACACATGAATGATTCAATATCCAAAAATCAATCAATGTAATTCATTACATCAAAAAAGAGATAAAAACCATTAGATCATATCAATAGATGCAGAGAAATCATTTGATAATATCCAATAACCATTTATAAAGAAAATGATCAAAAAAGTGGGATAAACAGACTATATTTTAACATAATAAAAGCCATTAACAACAAACCCAAAGATAATAGCATTCTCAATGGTGAAAAACTGAAAGATTTTCCACTAAGATCTGAATAAGTCAAGGGAATCCACTCTTACCACTACTATTCAATATAGTATTAGAAGTCTTAGCTAGATCAGTTAGACAAGAGAAAGACATAGAGGGAATCTGAATTGGGGAAGAAGAATAAAATTATCACTATTTGCAAATGACATGATAATATATATAAAGAACCCTCAGCCTTCATGGGAAATATAGTTGCAATAATCAATTTATAAAAGTGGCAGGGTATAAAATCAATATTCAAAAATCAGTTGCCTTCCTATAATACATAGAATGATTTTGAAGAGGAAGAAATTAAGAAAGTGATCACATTTATAATCACACCAAAAAAAAATATATAGCTAGGAGTAATCCTAACAAAGGAAGTAGAAGATCTAAACAAAGAAAACTATGAGACATTATTAAAAGAAATAGAAGTAGACAGTAAGGAATGGGAAAATACCTCCTGCTTATTGTCAAAATGGCTATCCTATCAAAAGCAATATATAGATTCAATGCACTCCCAAAAATATCATTGGCATTCTTCAGAGAACTGGAACAAACACTAATGAAATCCATATGGAATCACAAAAGACCCTAAACAGCCAAAGCAATTGTTACAAAAAAGAAAGAATGGAGGTATCAAACTTCAAACTACACCATAAAGCATTATAATTAGAACAGCCTGGCACTGGAACTAAAATAGACACACAGACCAATGGAATAGAATTGAGAGCCCAGAAATAAACCCAGACCTAATCTAGCTAATCTATGACAAAGAGGTAATCTATGGCAAAGAGGTCAAGAACATATTAGTAGAGCAAGGACAACCTCTTCAATAAATCATAGTGAGAAAGCTAGACAACTGCATGCAGAAGAGTGAAATTAGACCATTATATCACACTACACACAAAAATCAATTCAAAATGGGCAAGAGTATGTAAATCTTGAAACTATAAAATTCATAGACAAAAACAGGCAAAATATTTCATGACATCAGCTTTAGCAATGTCTTTTGTGATTCATCTCCAATAACAAGGAAAACAGAACATAAACAACTGACACTACATCAAACTAAAAATCTTTTGCACAGCAAAAGAAACCATAACTAAAACAAAAAAAAGCACCCTGTGGTAAGGGAGAAAATATTTGCACATACATCTGACAAGGGACTAGTATCAAAGATCTACAAAGATCTCACACAACTTACCAAAAAGAAAAAAAATGAATCCAAAAAATGGGCAGAAGAACTAAACTGACACTTCTCCAAAGACACAGTTAACAAACAGGCTCATTTATTTATTTTAAGGGAAATGCAAATCCAGACCAAAATGAGATACTACCACACATCTCACACATCTGTGAGAATAACTCATATTGAAAGGACCAGAAACAAGTGCTAACAAGGATTTGGAGAAAGGGGAACCCTCCTACACTTCTGGTGACAATGTAGATTGTTCTACTCTGGAAAGCGACATGGAGGTGTCTCAAAAGATTAAAAGTGGCTCTGCCATATGACCCAGTAATTCCACTCCTAGAAATCTACACGAAAATATGAAAAATACCAGTTAGTAAGGAGACTTGCACTCCCTATGATTGTAGCACTAGTTACAATAGCCAAATTATTAAAATAACCTAAGTGCCCCAAAAACAGATTACTCAGCAGTCAAAAAAGAAAAACTGATGACATTCATAGTAACATGGGTGGAGCTGGAAGGGCTAATACTGAATGAAATAAGTCAGAAGGAAAATGATAAATATGGAATGGTGTCACCAATACATGAAATACAGAGAATCCAAATGAATAGTCAGATGAAGACAAGCTTAAAAACTAATCCTTGAAAACTGATTCTATAACTGAAGCATCCAGAATATTGATGGGGTGAGGGAAGAATAAGAAGGAAGAGGAAAGAAGCACAATGGACTTTGGTAACGGACTCTTGGTAATTGGTGGTGGGTACACTTAGATGGTAACATCTGATGGTGGAGCAGGGGTGATACTAAAGTTACCTTAATGAAAAAAATAAATAATAACAAAATAAAATGACTTACTATTTGTAGAGTTGTAGGAAATATTTGTTTGAAAAATGATGTGTAAATTGTGAAGTTAGAGAGTTGACCAGAACATGCATTTCATTCATTTCTGTTGTTGAGTTTTTGAGTTTAGTTATGTGCATATTCTGGTCTATCCATAAACCACTTTCCAGAGTCCAGACCACAAGCCTCAGACCTGTGCTGCAGAATAGAATGTCATCAAAGTACAGATGGACGATTCTTATTACCAGCATTGGTTCCAAGGCTGGATATCAAATGACTAACATATTTTCAGTGATGTATTAAGTATAAATGGAAGAAAGATATTTCTAGAAATAGTAAGGTTGAAAAATGACTGTCAATTATAATTTAAGAATATTTCTACCCTTCCATAAACTATTGAACAACATCTTTATTTTTTGTTAAGATTTATTTATGCTTATAAGAACGGGTACAGGCCAGAGGTGTGGGGGTTGGAGGGTTCACCAGAGACAGAGTGGGGGAACAGAACAGGCAGATTGACTGAAATACACTGCTGAGGGGAGCAGCGGGTGAGTCAGGAGAGGTCTGCTATGCCATGTGGGGTAGCTCCCTGGCTGGGGATCAAACCTGTGCCGCAGTGGCTGTGGATAGCTTCATAGGTTGCGTCTTAACCCCTTGCACCACCAGGGAGGCCCTGAATAACATCTTTAAATTATTTAATGCACTGATAAAATAAAAGCCTTTAGGTGGAAGCTTTATAATTAATTCTTAAGGAAGAAATACAGTATACTTTATATTAATATATCACAAATGAGAAACATTACATTAACTGTTCAATATATGTAGAGATAACATGACTACCTTAAAATCTGCAAGCTCAGTTAATGTCGTTATTATATTTTTGTGATAAAATTTTATTCTCTGACTTTCCTTGATCATCCCATATAATTTTTATATATACATGTACAATATCTTGTATGGTTTTCTTTGGTTCCTTCTTTGGGAAATTTGGACTCATTTAATTGTGTTATAGTAATAGCTTAGTCACATAATGTTTTTTTTATTACAATGTATTTTCAAAATATAAAAATAAAATGAAATACATTTTTTACAACAAAAAAAGAGCCCCCCCCAAGTCCCTAGAAGTCATCAAGTTAAGAATAATTATCACCATTTTACTGATGAGAAAAACAAGAGTACATATTATGATTTTTTTTAATTTCACAAAAAGTCTTAAATGTTTGTCTTAGAATTTAAAGGCCTGAAAAACTCTAGAAATTAGGTTAAAAAATTCTCAAGTGGCTACTTGCTTCTAAAGGAAAACAACTGTGTTAATGCTCTACAAAAGGGAGGGAAGGAAGGGCAAAGAATTTATGCCAAAATATAGAAAGTGATTCTTCTGGTGATTACTGCAGGCTATGATAGAGAAGGTTTTGTAGATTTCATTTAGTTTAAAATTATGCAAAAGAAAATAAATTGAGTTCATGTCATTTCAAGTAAATTTAAATTAGAGAAAATGCTGGCATAAGCTAAAACTTCCTAATTAAATTACTTTGATTACTTTGAAATATGATAAAATATTTGAATTCCACTAAAACAAACAGGAAATATAAGACGAAGACATTAAGAAATGAAAATAAGGGGCCTCCCTGGTGGAGAAAGGGGTTAAGCATCAGCACTGTGAAGTTGGATCCCGGGGTAGGGAGGTGACCTACATGGCGCAGCAGACCTCTCCTGTCTCACTAGCTGCTCCCCTCTGCAGTGTATTTCAGCCAATCCGCCTGTTCTGCTCCCCAGTCTGTCGCTGGTGAATCCTCTCACCCCCCCCCGAAACTTCTGGCCTATACCCCAATTCTTGTATGCATAAATAAATCTTCAAAAAAAAGAAATGAAAATAAAATTCTATTTCAAAGATGTCATTGGCTATCATGTTAGGCAACAAAGAAACAAAAATTATTTAAGTTTTGTTATCAGATTTAGGTAAAATAAGATTTATAGTAGTAGAACTGATTTCTTATGAATTAAAATATAAAAACCAATCTTCAGTTTTAAATATTATAGCTAAGAAATTAAAGTCTGCTTATAAACTAATCAATATATGACCCATCTCCATTAAAGTGCTAGATTTATAAATGTTGTATTACATTGAAGATTTAATTATTCAGTAGAAGTGTCACAAAATGAAACACTTGGAGTGTGAGCTAAATGCATTTACATTCCAAGAATCACGTTGCCAATATTAAAACTGCAGGATCAAGTTAAAATTCTGTTATCAGTATAAAATTAGTCATAGCCCATTTAATTATTTAAAATAATTATATTATTATCAAGGGTAATTAGGTAGGTGGGAAAATCAATTATATAGGACCCATGGAAAGTTTTAAAATAAAAACAGCAATTGATACATATCCAGCACATACACACCTCATTCTTAGCTAAGACAAAGCATCAAGGTAATTCCAAGGTAATGCCAAGATTTATGTAAAGTAAAATTCCTTGGCCTCTATTTGTTGTAGGAAATGTTACATAACAGTGAGAGTCTGATCTTTCAAACTAATATATATATATATATATATATACATTTAAAAGCATGTAGCATTTTATGTATGTGTAGTTTATGAAGTACAATATTAGAATAATCAGACTAAAAAGCTGATGAAAGAATTTCTTCAAATGAGTAGACTTTATTCCCACAAACAATGTCCAGCAAAGTGAAGTTTTTTAGTTTCATTTATTTTGCATTTGAGTGAAAATATTGTATGGAGATATAATAATTATATATAACAGAATTGTAGAGCCTATGAATTGAAGGGGACCTTCAATATCATCTCATTTAACCTGTTAATTCACTGGGGTGGAGCTAAAGTTCTTTATGATTTTCTTAAGGCCACAAGGCAGACCTGTGACTAAAATCTAAATTTTTCTTTAGATTTCTCCTGGTCCAAATTAATTTTTCTGTAACATATTGTTTACATTTCAGTCAAAAGAGCAATTTTACAAATATTCAAGAATTTTAGAATTCAATTAGGCATAAAGATGACAATTTTTAGGATGCCAAACTCATTAATGTTTTCCTTATATTGATGGGTGATAAAGAATGGTTATTTAAAAAAATTACCTTTCATAAGACCTTGCATCAATTCACTTTTTTCCTCTAAATCAGACAAACTACTTCTTTGTTTTTTGTTCTGATGGGAAATAGGACATATGTTCAAAGAAATTCAATTTCAGTCAATGAAACTCTTTGCCTGGTTTAAAAAAGCAAAAAAAAAAAAATTAACAGTTCTAAAGATCAATAAATATTTGGACACATTCAAGTGAATTCAAATCCATTGTGAAGATGACCAAAATGATTGGAGCAACCACACTATGATTCATTTTAGTGCAAACATATACTCATAACTAAATCATGTCCAGAAGGTTCTTGGTATTCTTCTGAAATTGAACTGTTCCCAAATTCACGAACATTTTTTCATTGTTTTTTAACAGTCACTTGTATTTCTCTGGTATCACATTTCTATTTCCTTGACATATCTTCAAACACTGGCTTTTCAAAATTCACTAAAATTTTACCCTAGATTTGTGGTCATCCCTCCTGTCCTCATGCCTCCCTCCCAGCACACGAAACAACAAAGTCTATTAAGATGCAGATGCTTGGACCTCCATGGTAGTGCAGGGGGTGGAGTGCAGTGATGTGAGTCTCATCTGTGGCCTTTGTAGCTGGGGAGCAACCCACATGGCGCAGCAGACCTCTCCTGACTTGCCCGCTGCTCCCCTCAGCTGTGTATTTCAGTACATCTGCCTGTTCTGCTCCCCATTCTCTCTGGTGAATCTTCTCACCCCCTGCGACTCTGGCCTGTACCCTACTTCTTAAAAAAAAAAAAAGATGCAGATGCTTGTATATAACTAGATACTTTCAGAAATGACTCACTCTACTACATGTATTTCATGTATTTTAAGGTTGAGAATAGTCAAAACATTCCAAAATGTTATCAGTAAATGTCAAGTATTTTCCTTTTATATGCAATAACAAGAAAGTTGTCCAAGGCATAGGCTACCTCCAGAAGTCCTAAAAATAAAACTCATTTGATGCTGTTATGGGTTGAATTATATTCCTTCAGTAATTCAGGTGTTGAAGACTAAACCTCCAGTCCCTCAGAAAATATACCTTACTTGGAAATAAGGTCATTGCAGTTGGAATTAGTAAAAATAAGATCATTTAAATGGGTGCTAGTGCCCTTATTAAAAGGAGAAATTTGGACACAGAGACAGACACACACGGGGGAAGAAAAATGTGAAGAAACACAGGGAGAAGATAATCATCTCTGAGTCAAGGAGAGAGGCTTAGAATGGATCCTCTCAGGAGGAACCAATCCTGCTGACACATTCACCTCAAATTTCTAACCTCCAGACAATAAATTTCTGTTGTACCCCTTATTTTGCGATAATTTACAAATTAAAACAGTTACCTGTCTGAAATCTCAGACAAACCAAATACTTTAAGAAGTCACTTTAATATACATTACATTGATTAATCAGAGGTCATAAAATAGAGTCTACAGAAGTGAACTCTCATAAGCCTTTTAGAGTATAAGGTACTTTTTTTTTTTTTTAAGTTAATCTAAGAGAGAATCCTCAGCTGCTCAGTTCAATAGGAAAGAGGAGATTCAGTTAAATAGAACTTCGCTATCTTTTTTTTTTAAAGACTTATTTTTATTTATGCATACAAGAGCTGGGGTACAGGCCAGAGATTCGGGGGGTGAGAGGATTCACAGAGACAGAGTGGGGAACAGAACAAGCAGACTGATTGAAATACACTGCTAAGGGGAGCAGCGGGCGAGTCAGGAGGGGTCTGCTGTGCCATGTGTGTTTCTCCCTGGCCTGGGATCGAACTCATGCTGCAGTGACTGCGGACAGCTTCATAGGTTGCGTCTTAACCCCTTGTGCCACCAGGGAGACCCAGAACTTTGCTATCTTTACTAATATGGTTTTATAATTCAAAACATATTTGAGAACTCAAAAGGCACCTAAAGCCACACACTAGGAATAGAATAGTAAGCAAACATTCACTGTGATGTCTGCTTTCATGAAGCTTTCAGTCACACACATTCGTGAGTCAACTTTTAAATTGAAGAGGCCAGGCATGGAAGGGAACAGGAAAGGAACCAATAATATACACATATAATTTCATTCAATTTTCACAAAAAAAATTATGAAATACTTATTATCTCCATTTTATAGATAAGTAAAGTGAAGCACAGAGTTAATAAGTTACGGAGTGGAAGTGAGATTCAGACCCAAATTGTCTAACTGCAAAGTTCTGTTTGTTCCACTAATCTACTTTTCAGAACGAAATAAAAAAGGAGAAAAGGAGAATGTATGCATCCACATAATCCATACAATTCTCCATAGTGTATTGGGGGTTGGATTGTCACTCTATGTATATCTGAAGTACATAATAAAGTTCTACATCTGGGAATTGGATTCAGTACAAATATAGAATATCTGACCACTGTTTTTTTTCAACTTGCCATCGAAAGGCATTCTCACTTCCTAACACCACAGTTCTACCAGTCGAACACACCATCCTATTACTTACCCATACTTTACATGTAGAACACACAGCAATTACTAAGAATTCGAGTATACACATCCTTTCCCTTTCAAGTGTGAATAAAAGGCACTTTCCAAGGTTGGTACTGGATGAATTAACAGGATAGCCCAGAAACTTAATTTGTCTATACCAGGTGATTAACTTTGTGGTCCAGAGATGGACTCATACTCACTAAATTCACAAGCACATTCTAGAATGCCAGAATATTGATTTACAACAAAAAGTACAATTCTAAGAATGGATTGACTGTTAGAACTGATAAGACTAAAGTGCTCTCTCTCCCCATAGGAAGTGCTACCAAACAGGAGGATAGCTTAAGGAACAAGCAAGTGGGATGAAATTCATGTTTAATGACAACTAATTCTGAAGGACCAGTGTGTCCATTTATGGACATGTACGTACCTACTAACGAGACAAAAGTACCCTTTGGACACTTGACATTTTCTCCACCGAACAATGCTAGGATAAATATGTCCTAGGCTTTGTCATTCTCTTCCAGACAGTCTACTTTCCCAGGAACCCATGTATTCTTTAGATATGTTAATATAATTTGTTAGCGTTAGTCTAGCCTGGGTGCAATTCTCATTCTTTTACATCTTCATCTACCTATGAACCTGTCCATCAGGCCTTGCTTTTCTAGTTTAACTTTTAGTGGGTTTCAAGTCATTAGAAGGTTTGTTACTGTTGTTTACACATTCTTGTGCCTTTTCTTCCATGTACTTCCCACAATATACAAAAAACTTACTGCCTTGTTTATCAGACACAAGTTCTCTCTTTTATAGTTTTTGCCTTTTGTGTTTTTGTGATAACATTCTGGTTCTTTTTAGAGTATCCTATATAACTTTGATAGACATTTTAATGTGTATACTCAAATCCTTCACTATATTTTTCTAATAAACATTCTTATTTATGTGAGAGGAAGAGAAAAAGACTTTCAGATGAGAACTGATTTCGAGGTTTAGTGTAAGTAAAAAGTAAAATGTTATGAGATGTTTAAATTTTTCTTCTTTTTGTTTATATGTATATCAATAATATATGAGTATGTATATATATGTAAATAGATAGCTATATAACTGTACAAGTATATTCCAATTCAATATTGCAAGTGTTCTTTGCTTTCCCTTGTGAAATAGATGATTCTTGAAAAGTTCGCCATAAGATATAGTGCAATGAGCCCCAGACACAGCATCAGCAGCTCTGAGGTTTTCACTTTCTTTCTGTGCTGATTTGCTGGGTGGCCTCTGGCAAACACATGAACACTTTGTGCCCTGGGACTTATACCTATAAAATGCGTGTTCTGCTGGGGCATGGGTGATGGCAGGGCAAAGGTCTTTTAGTTTGGCTGGCATCAGGATTCTGACTGCGAGAAGGGACAAAGGTGCTAGGATTACCAGGAAGTTCTTATAAAGGGGCTAACAACTTGACCTACCTAACTAAAAGGGCACTTGTGAAGAGGGTCATATGAAACTCAGTAAAAGGAAGTCCTTGAAAATTTTTCTTTTTCCTTCTGACTTATTTTGCTTAGCACAATTGCAAATTAGTTGAAGCCTCTTGGATAGGAAAAGGTAAGACAATGACTTTAATTCTGACACTGTAGTGCCATATATCAATGCTGAACCAAATGGTAATTCTTGCCTTATCTAGAATTGCATTTTTCCTTTGAAAACCTTTTCAGATTTTCTTTATAGATTCATTTCTGTAAGCCATTACAAATATGCAGACAACACTCAAATGTATCCCAACCATGACTTTTATCTTCAGTCATAGAATGACATTTTCATCTGTCCTTGGAATATCTCCACTTGGGTGCTTATATACACCACACACTAAGCATCATTCAAAGAGGTCATCATCTTTAGCATCAAACTTCAACTACAAACCATTTTTCTCTTAATCCCCTGGATATGTAACCTCAGAGTTAGCTTAGACTTTTTAAAATTCTGTTCCCGGTGGTTTGTCAAGTCCCGTCAAGGTCTAAAATTACTTCATTTACTTTTTAACTTCCATCCCCTGATTTCTAGTCTTCTATCACCCATTTTATCTCAATTCCTCGTTAGGTATCATCTGTGTTTTAGTAAGTCTACCCTTTATTCACTTTCTTTCATCTGTCTTTAATCCACCTTCCACAACCCTGGAGAGTCATCTGCAACACACATCTGATCATATCTCTCCTCTGGTTAATCCCCAGTGAGTTCCTAATACTGGATAAAACATAGTAGAACAAGTCTTTTCATGATCTGAATCCAGTCTTAGTGCATAAGACTACTGCAAATGTTTTAGTCACATGAAACTACTTTTAGTTCCTCCAATACACCGTGTTGTCTCTTGCCTTCGTATCTCATATGTCCTTCCCTCTTTTATGCTTCCTGTCTTCACACTTACCCATTTTCCTTACATTGGTAACTCCTATGTAGTCTTCAAGATGCAGCTTTAATATCACCTCCTCCAGGAAGACTTCCCAACACCCTTCTTTGTCCTTGCATGGCTCTGTTGACATAATTCTTCATAACAATTCTGTTATAATTGTTGATCAACTTTTCTGTACCTTTCATTAGATTGAAAGCTGCTTAAGGACAAGGATTTTGTCTCATTCATATTTCTATCACCAAAGCTAAAAACTTTTTTTTTTACACAGGTAAATGTTTGCTAAATAAACAGTTAAATATCAAAATCATCCTAAGATTCTAACCAGTATACCACAGAGCATAAATTGGACCATATGTAACCCAGAGACTGAGGTTTACATAAGGGAAGGAAAATAGTTTACTGGAATCAAAGTATCATGCAAGACAAGGCAAAAAGAAACAGTGAAATTGTTACCAGGCAAACTGAGCAGAACTCCGAGACCCCTCAAACCTTGTATACTGTAAATAGGTTCTGCCATCTGCCACATGAAAGCAAAACATACTCAGCGCATAAGACCTTCAGTAGAAAAGAAATTTAATAGAATCACCATGCAATAGAGAGAAGAGAAGGAATATAGTTAAAATAGTTTCCCAAAGAAACACCAAAAGTTACCCATCCCCCTGTAGGTAAATGCCCAGCCAAACAGAGTTGGCCCAAAACAGGGCCACTGAGGCCTGAAAGCCTGCCATAGCCAGGCAAGTTTGGAAGAAAAGGAGCAAAACAAAAGTAAAAGTCAATACAAAGACTGCCATTGTCAGCCTCGCCATGTGTCTCTCACCCACATCGCTGTCTCTTCCAAGTGTCTCCTTCCATGTCCCCCAAGTCTCTGGTGTAAGTCCAAGGTTGAGAAATAAGCACGGCTCCTTCTTTAAATGTCTCTTTGCTCCACATGCCTCCTCAAGTCTTCTCTCCTACCAAGTTCTCTTTAACATCCTCTTTTTGTTCAGCTCCACCCTTCAATAGCTGTGGCAGGAGACATGGAACCTCCCCTATTTAGATTACACTGTTACAAAATCATGAGCAGGGTCCAGGCAATAAGATTGTTATAGTCAGGACACAAAACAAAAACCAAGATCATAAAACAGAGTAAAAATCTCATTTGAATAAGTTTAAGATTGTGAATACCAAAACACAGAGACAATGTAGGGAGGCTGTTGTTGGTGAATCAGTCAAGATCCTCAGGTAGGCAAGTAGTCTTAAGAAATAGTTCAGGGCTTGGGTGGGAATTTCCAACATATTTATCATTCCTGATTTCTAGGCCTTACTTATGATAAGCACAGTGTCAGAAAGAAAATCTTAGTGATTTTTCTGGAGAGCTGGCAGATACAAATATATTCTACAATGGGTTAACCACATTTGCTTTCAACATCGCTATGTAAAGATTAGACCAAATGCTCCTATTTGTGAAAGCTGAGCATAATGCAACATATGATTTAAAAAAATAAAATTGTCATATTAAATTGGCCTTTAAATGGTTATTTTTAGTTAATAAAACCACTAAATACCCAAAATGAGTGATCTTATCTTTTATATTACATTTTAGTCGTAATGCATAAATCAATATACAATTGATTTAATTAAGGAAGCTGCAGAGAGTTCTTTCACAATATGACTCACTTTTCATTTGTAAATATTTCAACTGCCAAGAATTTTACTTCAAGTAAAATTCAAGTACTGTGACTTTTATGAATATTAAAGAATGTTTTAAATAACTGTGGGCTGATTCTATATTAAGTATAGATCAGAATGTGTTGGAATGAGTTTCTCAAATCTGACACTTTCATTTTGCTTTGTTACATTTCTTCCACTAGACATGGTCATATTATACTAATTCTATTCACTGCTCCAAAAGGTTGTTTTTTCTATGGCAAAGACAACAGTTTTTCAATCCTGGGGAGATATAGTAATAACAAAAGGTGTAAATAAACTTACTTGCATTATTTTTGAAAGATACATTTATTAGCCTTTGGAAATATAGTCCATTGAATTGCAGTAAAATTTGACACATCTGTTGTACTATTTTATTCATCACGTATGATAGTCTAGGTAGAGTATAAACCCCTTGCAGGCAGGGGTTATTTTGATTCATTCTATGCTTTACAATTCTTGGCAATAGCTACTACTCAATAAATATTTATTAATGAATGTGGCTTTACATGTCAATTTTGCTTCTGTAATGAAGACTGACAATTCACTTACTTAACATTCTTCATATTCCACCTCTGCAATATTTATAAGTGCTTCTCCTTCCTTTAACTCTTTAAGTATTTATGTTCACATGGAAATTTATATAACCTAAGGCTAAAACCATCAAATTTCTATTAAATCTTAGTCATCAATTAGAGTGAATATTTTCTTAAAACCTTTATTTTAAACTATGTTTTTACTGAACACGGAAATACATAATTGTTATATATAATCTACTTTAAAATATTAATTATTTTTAAACAAAACTGCATGATTCCTTTCTACAACTTCTTTATTAGAGACAGCTTATCTCTAGAAAAAAATAGGTCATCTGGTGAATCTACTGTCTTATAAATGAAAGTGAAGAGTTTATCCAGCACATTTCTTGGACACCACCATAATAATTTCAAGTACTTTTGACCAATTTGTGTTAATATTATTTTGAGTAATCTCCCTGCTGTGCAAATTTCTTTGGTAACTTTGTATAAAGCTTACCAGAAGTTCATCTTTATGTGTCATCTAAAACCTTTCTGGGAAAATGCCACCTTGTTTCCTGTTTTCTACAT